TATCAAATGTAGTTTAATTAAATAGTAATTAGTAAGGTGTTACTAGTACCTATTAACATGAAATGTATGTTAAGCAATTTCCACTTTATACAAAATCAAACTTTAATTACAAAATTATTAAAGTCTGAGTACTGCAAACATATGCAACATTCTATTGTATAAAATTTTGTTAAGTTGTGTGTTTTGTTTAAATTTGACGCTTTGCGAAGAACACCAACAGTATGTGGAACTAGGCCAAGTATTTCCTTACCAATGGAAAGATTCAGTGTCAATGTCAATTTAGCAAAGTATAAATCTCATATGAATTGAAGATTTATAATGATGTGAGCGACGGCATATTTTAACATTAGATGAACCGTGTTCCAACCTATGAACCCACCTATAAATACTGTTATTTTTTTCCTGGCAACTAAAGACTTAATCAGAAAAAACAAATGTGGTAATAAGCAGAACAATTTTCGTATATTATTCCACTTATTGTTTACCAACATTAGTGCAAAATTATTACCCGATCCATTATTGTCTTTTGTTAAAAGCGATATTGTACACGCGCCTTTATTCAACTAACTAACTAGATTATTCATAGTTTATTTTTGGACATTTCAACTAGGTCTTAATTAAATATTATATGTATTCGCTTGCTCAAAGTCTCGATTCTTAGTAACACAAAAAATATGTGGCATTGAAAATTAGTAAATGCAAGAAATGTGTTTGTCCTTTATAAATACTCGTATATACTGGCACACTAGAACACGCGGCATTATTCACCTCGCCTTGTAATAACTCACACTGCCAGCAATTAAGGAAAAACCTCAACATTTTTAACACGTCGACCCTACCAATTGTACTAGACGGTGTTAACATTCGTAAAGACAAATTAAGAAGCGAACCGTAATAACGAGCGAAGGTTTCATTATATATAGGCTAGGGTAAGTTATAAAAACTTTTACACTTTACGAGGCTCTGTGGGGAGCGAATTCTTGGAAATGGCGAGAATTTAGTTTTGGTTGGAGACGTCATAACGAAACGGTGAAGTTATATGTTGCATTTATTAGTGAAACTATAAAATATATATATATATATATATATATAGAGCAGTGTTGGCCTGCTCATACCTGAGGTCGTAGGTTCGATCCCCGGCTGTGCACCAATGGACTTTCTTTCTATGTGCCCATTTAACATTTGCTCGAACGGTGAAGGAAAACATCGTGAGGAAACCGACATGTCTTAGACCCAAAAAGTCGACGGCGTGTGTCAGGCACTTGAGGCCGATCACCTACTTGCCTATTAAGTTTAAAAATGATCATGAAACAGATTCAGAAATCTGAGGCCAAGACCTAAAGAGGTTGTAGCGCCACTGATTTATTTTTATAAAATATATATATTATTTGTTAAGGAATGTAAACAATCAGCCCTTTTTAATGTTCACTGTAAATAGTCACTACAGTCACAGTAGTAGTACATCAGTATTTCATACATTGTTCAAGTAATATTTGAATACAACAACAAATAGTTGGGCATCAAATTTCAAAATCAGAAGCATATCAGTTATGGCGTTCGTTCAATTTTGACAATGTATTCAAATCAACGAGTAAATCGATAGATTGACTATTTGATGATATGTATAATGTAAGCGTAAATGATAATCGTTTGTAATTTATGGATAATAGAGCTTCATTGTTATTATTGTAAATATTTTTACACATTACAAAATTTACACCATAGCTTTTAGATTTACTTCGTTTTTACACTCGAAACTCCCGAATACGACGGAGCACTCATTTATTACGAACAAATGAACGAAAAATGCAATTAGTGAGAAAGAAAAACGGCTCACAATGAAAGGAAACTTTTTGAAGACATAAATCTTTCTTGTTTGAATTCAGTTTCGACAGTCAACCAGCTCATAAAACCCTTTATGTTGTTTTGATAGTAATGAAAGTTTGGTTGATTATTATAAAAATGTTTAATAAAATATATATTGTTTATATATAAACGATTGAAAATTCAAGTGCTTTTAATTTACTAAAGTGTTTATTTATTAAAGTACTACTAAATCTACGGCATATGTTACAAACTCTTTTATCTAAAATGTATGACAATTTAAGTAAACATACGTGTTACAAAAAATAATATTAAAAAATACAATTAAAATATATACAAGATAAAATCATACAATAAAAATACCAGAAATTTTTGTTAATCAGAAAAAAAATCAGCAAAACAGCAACTTAGGTTCGAGATAGGCACTTAACAATGCATTCTCTAAAACCGTTGATAATATATTGCTCACATGTAGTGTAAAGTAGGTTTGTGAAGCTCAGTATCATGCGAACCAAATAATAAGACCTAGTATTAGTAGTACTTAATTTTTAGTATTTCACTAGCTGACCTAGAGTGAAGTCACATTTCTGTTATAATGTTTTTTCATAGAGGTTTGCATCATTATGGATCGACCCCGACCGCCATTTATATCTTGTTAATTACGAAAAATGAGGTCAGAAGAGTTCATGTATTCATTTAATAAAAGAGTCCCAAAATCAAAAATTAAAATCGACTATAAAGCTGCATAAATTGCAAAATAAATATCCGCTCTTTATAGGGCATTTGTTTTGACAGGCCCTTTTTATTGAAAGAGAATTATCGTTGCACAGATTGGATTTCGCTATCGATATTTAAATGCGGTACGATGTCGGGGATTGCGCGCAATCAGAACGTCCTTTATTTCGTCACGAATTTTTTGTGTGATGATACGTATTAATCGGTTGAGAAATTTCAATTTGGTCAATGTTATTTCAGTAGGGCTTTTTAAACGCAAAACTACAATTTAAAATACTTGATAAGTCAAGTTTTTCGAAGATACAGCAAAAACCTCTGTATGAATGAAATTCGAAGCAAGTACTAAGGGTTGAATAAGGTTATACATTACATACTAAATCTTGGCATTATTGACAAATGACGTCTTTTGTTTCAATACAGTATCATTTCCCAGGCCCATAGAGTTTTATATTTCTCGACCCATTTCCATGCTATTCGATCTTTTGTAAATTGTTACATTACCCCTATAGCTTTGTGATCAATATATATTGTTATATTCGATTGAAATACAAAATTTATATTACAATATGAAATGTAGTCTTAGGTTTTTATATTAAATTCCATTTAGAACTTAAGTGTAAGTATGCAGTGGTAATTTGGAAAGAAACGTAACAAATAAACTAAACTTTTTTATATGTTCATTACTTAATTCTCTCATTAATAAGAATAATTTTGTAAAAAATATCCCTAAATGCAGAGGCTACATTTTTATATAATAAAACATATTTTTATTTATATAAATCATATATTCTTATTATTGATAATATAGTACGGCATGGCCTTTTCTAGCAGTAAGGGGTCGTATAATTCCGCTCTTTGTGAAAATGCTCGTAAATCACCGCAAAACCCAAGTTCTTTTGACAGTAGTAGCGTCATGTATTAATACATTCATGTGCTCTTTCCTTTATATCACACTATTTCCTGTTTCTCAATAGAATCGTTAAGAAGCACATATTGACATATGAGAGAATTATTATACATTATTAATATATAACTTAAAACGTAAACAGAACTTTAAGTTACAATATTAGACATGTTTTACTATAGAAAATATTATTAGACTGACTATTTATTTGACACGATAGGCGATAAAGTCTTAACTCTTTTTTTCGATGTCAAGAACAGGAAACCCACCCGTATATCACATATCTTTAGTACATATTATACTTTTTAATAAAATAGCATGTGAACACTTTTTCTTTGTTTTAGCCTACATCTCTTTTTAAAACATTACAAATATATATTCGTCAAATTTAAATCAAAATTTAGTGTAGAAATATACTCAAGTTGAATGTAAAGCGTTCCCTAAGTGAAACTCGGAAAATGTAAACTGTGTTGGAGACACGCAGAGTGCCATTTTGTGGGTATTTGTTTGCGCCTGCGGCTTTAGGTAATATAAACAAAACGCATTGAAAGCTCTCAGAGTTACCATTGAACCGATTCGAATATTTAACATGGAACCAATTTTAAAAAACATTGTTACTCAAATACAGAAGCGTGCCGGATTCAGGTGGAATATTTCAATTTCACAATCCCTTTTTCTATATCCGTCCATAGCTCATAAAACCATTTGTTTCCTCCTCTACAGAGATATGAAAAAATATGTTCTGATTTTTACTCATGATGTTTTAAATTAAAACTCAAGCTGTTATATCTATTCATGATTTACCTATTTAACATTATTTCAATAAGCTAATGGTTTTATTGCAATAAAAACTTTCTCAATATAATGCAAATAATCCTCGCAGTGATATTATGAGAAAATAAAGTAATAAAAGTTGACCTCCCACAGATGTGGCTATCTCTAATACTTCTAGGAAATGATGAACGGAACCAGCAAGTAAAAGGCATTAAATCTGTCTGGAGCTTTCGATTTGCATTGGGAAAATTGCATTTTCGAACTGGCGGCGACAAGGAGGCGACGTCTGCAAATGTTTGCAAGCTCCCTAAAGCTTTACTTAAGAACCACCTTCATCTTAAAACTTCTGATCCGTGGATAACTTTAATTTTACACGCTTACTCCATAAACATAAACAAATGATTAGTTATAATGTCTTAGATTTCATAAGCACATTACATATTTTTTGAAAATTATTGTTTTATGAATATTCTTGCTTACTAACTTATTTTAAGTATACTAATTGTTGAAATTATCATATAGGTATGTGGAAACCATCGGACTACGACATATACATACGCTTATAAATAATATTTAACAAAATGAGGTTTTAGTGTTCTTCTGTATTTAATACTGGCTGATATTTAGGCCAAACAATAGTAAAACATTTTTAGAACATGTCAAAAGTTTAATTAGGATTTAAAATATAGAAAATTCTTGAATAAAAATCTAAATTTGGCGATTTTGTGAAAAATTCTTAGTAGAAAACTAAAAAGTATAAAAAATGTCGTGCTCATATGTCGAGTGTGGAGACTATCAAGTAACACCTGTACTCATGGCACCTTGCGACTCCATGCCGTGTTGTGATGGTCCAGCCCTTTGTTATCCCTGTTTGCCTCGCTGTCCAAAAGGCCAAATTGTTTACTGCTGTGAAAGAAAGCCAAGTCGGCCACCGAAAGACGAAAGTTGTTGCCAATCGAATAAACCAAAGTCCAATGATCGTCAACGAGATCGTGAAAGAGACTGTTCGCCAAACCACTGCTGTCCACCCTGCAAGCATCCTACATGTAATCCAGTTAAAACTAAATATGTTATACCATGTTACCGCTATGAAGATGGCCGTATAGTAAGTACTTACATAATACCATTACACATCTACACAATTCTTTTTGGATGCGTTCCAAACATCTCGAATGCGGTTAACATCAAAACCTTACACAACAGCAAAAAAATTCCCATTATATTTGTACTTGTGAAATTCCTGAAACCAACACATTCGTATTTAGTCTTATTTTGTGGTTGGTTTCAGGAACAGTACATGCCGACACGACACGGTAGGCTGCCGGCTTCTGCATACCGTCGAAACGGAATGCAGGATCAAATGCATGGTTATAGAGGAGCCATCAGATACTTATGTGCTGGTGGTCATGATTCGTATAAGCCTTGTGTTTACACAGCTGTTGAACCTATTCGTAAAGTATTTCCGAGGATAACTCAAGAAATATTACCAGTTAAAAGAAAGAAGGATAAGAAATAAGTAGTCTGCGAAGCTATCCCCGATTTCACGGAAGAATTTTAACGGGTTTTCTTTTATTTATTAGCGTCACATTTCCAATATCAATTGGCAGGTTAACCCCATGCCCTCATCTGCCTTAAAACGAAATGGACTTCAGGATCAAAAATTTATTGAAAGTGGTGGCATTGCTTATATAAGAAAATGTTGGCGCAACGCGCAGTGGAGTGACTATCCATTCGCGTTTGCTGTCAAACCCGCGAAGAAACTCCCTGTCAAAGTCAATAAGAAGCGATGAACGTAGTGGGTGCGTTAATTGATCAATTTTGTCACTTGCAACCACGTTATGGCAGTGAGAAATGATTTCAGACAAGGTCGTTGTGGGTGTATTTTAACGCTAATAAATATAATTTTGTGAGTTAGTGAAATACAGACCCTAGTAGACATTGAGACAGCAGATTGTTATCTTTAAACGGCCACTGTCGGTTGCAGGTACAAAAGTTACCCGTGTCTGCATTCAAGAGGAACGGGATGCAAGACCAAGAACACTCAAAACTTTTGGGCACCACAAACTTTCTTAAGAGATGTCCCCGAGATGTAATGTTTGAATGTGACGTTTGTACACAACCAGTAAAAGTTAACGACCCAGTTAAAGTACCAGAGCTGCAAAAATCTGAATTATGCTGTAGAGTCTTTAAGAAGAAACCTATCGAGGTCTCTCTTGAAGATATATTAGATGAAGATTAAAAAAAATGCCTATACTAATTATTTGGGTAATATATTTTTAAGAGTGTTCGTTTATAGCTTATTTTTAGACTTTTGCATTGCAATCAAACGCAGCCAAACAACTTTTAAACCGTTTATCGTAAGCGGTAATAAATGAAAAATTATTAAATATCCTTTGTCATTTCCTCTAATACAAGACGTAGTGACCTTGATGGTCAGGTAAAACTGTAATAACCCGGACAGTTTAACATCTTTAGGCCGTTTGTCCTCCACCGCCTTCACCGGGACGTCACCGATAACGCGAAGACGGCGACTTCATCCCGGCCGCCGATCTTTCGAGTAGTTAATAATAATCTCGTTCTCGGTGACGTCCCGGTGACGGCGGCGGTGGGCAAACAGCCTTAGAATCAATGTTTTTTGGTTTGAAATGTCTCATTACCTACTAAAGGACACTTTACACTTTATAGAAATAAAACTTGTGCTTTACGTTGATTTTTTCCTTGTTCCAGGTGAACCAACCCACTGTACTCACGCGTAGAGCTTGTGAAGTGGCTGTGGGATGTAGGCCCAGGCGAAAGCCATTTTGTGCACATTCGTACTGCGCAGACGAAGAGCAGGAGGTACATCGATACGTGTCTGAAGATGAGCGGGTATCGTGTTAGTTAATTCAGTCTAACTTTTATGTACCTTTTTATATAATTTTATTGCGGCAGTCATCGTATTGATTGTTTTATTACATAATAAGCCTCCGATCGGCCAAAATATTTTCTAAGCGAATTAGTATTTAGGGCAGATATATACGCAAATTTTACTTTAATTCTTGTTGGTGTGAATTTAATAAAGGCCTTATTGGAAATCATATAGGTTGCTTTTACAAGAGATTAATATTCTAGCAAAAGCCCGCACCTGAATCAATTCCCACGCAATATCCTTTGACGGGGCCGAAGCAAAAAGCCGAATAAACGGTGTCGTTGACGCTCACGCTGAGGTGAAATTCAATTTTATTACAACTCACGCCAGGCCAATAAAAGTGAAACCGGCGAATATTATTACTTACGAGTAATGAGATAGTTTTGTTGTGTATTATGGTGTATGGATATAAAATAAACATGTGAATAGTGTATAACATTATATAAAAATGTTATTAATACTGTCCATCATTAATAGTAATATGAGAACTAACAAGAATTAAAAAAAGTAGTGCTATAAAATTTTGAACATTTTAGTTCGGCAAATGTATTTTGCCTTTCAAAATGTGACAGCAAACCTAAAAAGCTTAACTATAACACAAATCAATTTTAGTTAATTCTTGAAAAAATAACAAACCTTTAAAACAGTCTCCCTTATATTGTTAGAGAATATTGTTTAAATCACCGTTTACAAAACTAGGACAAACGTTTTAAAATAGGTGAATCAAAAATTTCTATATTGTGAACATTTCTATAAGTTAGTGAAGTAGTTGAAAGGCTCTGTAGCGTCAGTCTTCAAAGAACCTTTTTGCAATACAATTCAAACGTTTCCAACAAAACTGTTGCAAGCAGAATAAATACAAACATTGAAAGGATAAATTGTAAGTTTAACAGAAAAGTAATGAATAGGAAAGACCCTTATAATTAATATTGGTTTCGTAATTGTACGTTTAGTAATACATTACTACATTTGAACGTAATGTTTACCCGTTATACGTCGAGAGCCTGTTGGATTTATTTCCGAACCCGGATGAAGATGGGATCTTCGTGATTGGGCCAAATAATCCCAACTATTTACGAGCTTTCCTGACTCTTATCTCGTTTAGTGAAGCCTTAATTTATACATAGTCACGTTACTTTTGTTTACAAATTCATAAACGCTTGTTTCTTAAGGTAATAAAAAATACATATGTAAGGAAAGTACAATTTTCCTTTTTGAACGGTATTTTTGATCCAATCTTTGATTCGTTTATCCTATATCATTCCTTTCGTATATTTCTGCTTAGTGTGTAGTATTAGAAGAAACCAGTGAATAACTAATTGTAAGAATACTCTCAAGTGTTAAGCTGTCTCAATAGGCTATATTAGTCTTATAATATTGAGAACTTAGCATGCGGAATGTTTAATGACAACATCTGTAAAACTAAGGAAATGTATCTAAAATATAGTCGAGACCATGATTCTCAAGTTAACTGGAATTTTTCGCTATTTATGTAGATCGGATAACGGAATTTAAACTTTCCAGCCTCTTCAGTAATTAACAGAAAGCGCAGTAGCTAGAAACACGAAAAGTTACGAGATAGGAATTTCGTCTTAGGATTTTTTCCCTGCGAACTTAATTAAATTTATGGATACCGACGCGAAGTTGACCGCTTATGCAAATTAGGTTATTGACGCTTCGTGAAGTTTTGTCGAATTATAATTTGACACACGGCTATAAACATCATTGGAAATTATCACGTAGGCATTTAAAATAAAATACAAATAGCGTTTGGAAGTTATTAACCTACGTTGTATTTTTTACATTTCAAATGATTTAATTTGACACTTTCTAAGCTTTCAAGCCAGCATTGATTTCTTGTTTGTTTTGTACAGGGTAATTGTTGCTACCATTTCGAGAAAAAGAAAAACGGGAGTGGCTTGAACTACTGTCAGTCGTGTCACTCGTGTCCCCATTACGCAGATTGCGTCCCAGCGAAGGCGATGGAGCCTCCAAAGAACTGCTATTATTACTGTTGTTGATGACAATATTGCATTAAATTATGTCGTGTTCAATGTGAATCTAAACAATGTGGCGGCTATGTTATTAAAGTTTTATTATTTATTTTTTTGTTTTATTTTCAATTGCCGTAAAATAGTTCACGCCATACAATTATGGAATATGAAATATATAGATCGAGGCCTACATAGGATTGAGTAAGTGGAATTTACATCGTATAAATTTAATATAAGACAAAAAACGTCGTTAAAGTATATCCAGTCTGAAACTGCTATGTAGGACTATCGTTCTATACAATTAAGACTAGGTACCTGGTAAATTTAATTTGGTCTGCCGTTACCTTAACAGGGCGCCGTCATAGGCAAATTAGCATCAAATTGCAATCAGTAACAGTGGCAACATTTGGTTGAACAATAATTCTATATTGTATTAATATTATGGATTTAATAAAATTCGTGACAAAATTAATGCGTGGGGTTACGGTATTCTCTTTTGGCGATCCGAACTGAATAGGGATATTAACTTAAAAAAACGTTCTCTTTACAGCATAGCCTAAGCACAGCTTGACACAACGACTAAATGATCATTGTTCTATTAATATTAATTTACATTTACTACACAAATATTAACACAAAATACACTAATAAAACTATAAAAATAACACTGAAAGTTGAGTTTCTTTTAGACAAGAGTTATACTCCCAAAAGTTTTATTTATGAGCGTTTGTTAAGTCCTTTTTGGCGCTAAAACACCTCAATAATAACAATTTAGTTGATTAGTGACCGTCAGTACGATGTTTTAGCTTACCTTACACACCGATGAGCGGAGGTCAAAGAGGAAATTGCAAAAGCATTCGATCGGGTTTGGCACTAGGCGCTTCTCTTATACCCATGAAATTGTGCGAATAGATATCTAGTTTTTTTTTGCCGATCGGAACATCAAGGCCGTTGTCGACGGTACGTAGGTATTCCGACAGAAAAAACATAAATGCCAGAGTCCCCCAAGCCTATTTGTGTAGCTGTTGTGTCGTTGTGTACTTTCTCCATGAGGATTCCTCCTGCATATCAATGACATGTTGCAGTCAAGCAACGTTCATTGCTATGCAGATGACAGCAATGGGGACACCTTTTATACCGGCCCTGTTAATATTTCTCGGGTTGATGTTGAGCAGTGTCGGAACAAACTGTTCTTACCTCTGGGCGGGAGATCTCCAGTACCATTTCGTTCCATTGGATCGCATCCAACGCAGGGCAGCTCGACTCGCGGATGATCCGATCTTTGTCCTTCCGATCGGCTTGATCCTTTAGCTTTCCGTAGAGATTTTGATTCCCTCCGCACCTTCTACCGCATTTATCATGGGGAACGCTCTGAAGAATTATTCGCAATTCATGCGTCTGAATTCCATGGGACTTAAATTTCTTCGAAGTTGGAGATGACTCTTCCAATGTATGGGCGTAAGGTTTTTTCGTATTCGGGTCATTATAGTAAAGCCATGTTTCACCCATAGTTATGAATAGAGCCAAAATCGCTCAAGATCTTGTTGTAACGAAGCCAAACTGCTTTGTGAAATTATAAGTATCGTTTGATTCTACGCATCAGAAAGTTTATGGGCACCCAGCGCGCTGGCACTATTTTCATACCTAAATGGTTGTGTATAATATTATGGACATTTCCTATAGAAATCGTCGTTCCTTCTGCTATAAAACAAACAGTAACACGACGATCGAAGACAATAATATCATGTCTTGATTTACGAGCTCCGTTTATCCATCTTTAAGAACACGTTCCGACTCAACACAAACAAATGACTTGCTTTTTTATTATTAAATATAATTTCTGGGCTTTGTCAGTATTTTTTTTATTTCCAAGGAGAATGTATCGCACTATTTTTGACCATCCCTCGTATATAAAAAACTATACATATTTCTATAAGAGTAAGGGTCTTCACAATGTACGGATAAGTTCCAAATAAGCTATTTATTACTTATTGGTAGGATAAACACCTATTGTTGCGTTTCACGACTGTCAGATAGCGCTATTCGTCACATAAAGTCCATCAAAACTTATGAGTCCGATGAAATGTCAAATAGCACAATTTATCTTCCAAATAATTTATGTGTTGCATAGCTATTTGGTACTTTATCCATCCATTGTGAAACAGACCCTAAACCTTTCAACGTAAAAGAAAATACTAGTGAATAAAGACATATCCCCTATAGCATATACCCGAGTGGACCGGGTGCCTCAACTCATTGTCGAATTTCCGAACGAAATTTCCGACATGTCTGATATCGATTATCTAGCACTATTTTATCTTACATTTTTAAACAACTTTTACCTTAGTTGTCATAAACTTATTTACATTATTGTTTGTTTTAAAAACACTTTGTCATCATGTTTTACTACCATTTGTAAAAAACTAGTCCATCTGAAACATTTCTTAGATAAAAAACAACAAATAAATGTTATTGCTGAAAGAAATATTATATAGTTTAAGCAGTAAATTTTTCAAATATAAGAATATTACTTTGTTCCAGACAACGCGCTGGCCGAAATGCGAAACGAAATCAAATGAAATCAGGAGATTCGGCAAGATTTGTAATAAAACTTCGATGAACTAAGTCTATCGATATAATAAAAGATTTAGGGTCTAGTCGATCATGCGTATAGCGTTATTCTATTTGTTTGTGGGTGACTCATGAGCCAATGAGAAGGAAACGTGGGTCGGCGCGGTGACTTGCCGCGCAATATGCGCCGACCGGTGGTGCTACTCGCCGTTCTGTACGCGGCTGTTACAGCGCAAATTGCATGGACACCGATTTTTTTGGATGGCAGTAGTACGTATTTTAATAGAAGCTCATTTTTTAAAATTATATATCTCTTCCAGTGCTCAAAAGTTACCTGTATACGTAATACCGAACCTAAAAATTTACAAAAAACGTGTATGTATTTTATTATAAATAAAGAATTTAAAGTCACAAGTCAAAGATGTCCCTGTACGTAGGGTAATGAGAATTAAACAATTTAAATGTAGACAATTTAGCGAAAGAAACAATTTTTCATCTAAATATAATACTTTAAATAGTTTGATATTGAAATAGACTTTGAACTTTGCGTGATATTGATATGTATAATGACGATCAGGTCAGGTGGACCTATGGACGCAGACCTCGTCGGGTTGTGCGTGCCCTGGTACAGGAGATGAACAGTGCGCGTGCTGCGTACGCGACGGTGCGTGTCCTTGCGACGCTATCGCGCCTACACGCTGTGCGCAATGCGGTCTAGAGCAGTACTGTTCGAACAGTGAGTATGAGACTGCCTCCTCTATGTTATATTATAATAATTTCATTTTAAGTTATAATATGATTGCCTTAATAAGGTATTTTTGAATAGAACTTAAAGTATGTGACTATAATTATAATTGCCTTTATAAATAAATGCGTTAAATGATTATAATTTTAAAAAAATATTTAAATTATATAAAATGATTTCCTGGTAGAATTAAAATATAAACTTCTTGGAAAACATATACCATCAGACTTTTTAATCAGGATATAGATCGGGTTTAATACATTATCATATTATTAATAGCCAAATTTTAGTTATGTTATATTTTTGTAGTGTGCAATATCACAATCGACTCCCGAGTGCTCAAAAATAAATCGGGCAAGACTTTCGGGCAGATAAAGTCACCATCCATCGAGGGGCCGGATTCTTGCTCGTATCTCCTACAACCAGACGCCGGACAACGAGTGGAAATACAAATCTACCGTCTTGTGTCTGTGGGAAGATTTAATGGCACTAGGTATGTTTATACTGAATTATGCGATATTAGCGGCTCATGCTTGTTCTATACCGAAGCTGTCCCGACCCAAGTTACGGTTTAATTAAGAATAGATAATAATCAAAGGTATATTAAGCGATGTTTTAAAAATATCTTGAATTATTACTTTGAACTTGCCGATATTTTTATGAAAGTTAGGGTTATTTTAGACTACAATTCTCATTCTTATCGTTTAAAGCAATGTAAGTCGTACGCTTTCACGGTAAGGCAAGATGTGGGTTTAATATAGAGAACCTTATTACCTAATAAGACTCTCTCGTAAGTTTGCTAAGTCTTATGCTTCTGCTAGGTTTATTCGCTTACTAAGTTGTACTATCACGCTTATCTTGATTTAGTGGGTTTCATTGTTGATTCTCAGTAATAGTAAATTAAAAGTATTAAAGTAATTAAAGTAATTAAAAATTATAATCCATTTATTAGCATGATGACTTCTAAATCCTTCTAAAAATTTGATGAACTGATTAAAACTGAGACTGAAACTGTTCTGAAGTACAGTTGTATGTAGCCGTAAGTTATTCCCACTTTTAAAATTAGAATATTATAAATCAAGTAAGTAAATTGTAGTGTTAAAATAAAAAGCAAATTTTCTAATGACATAATCTTAACATTATCTGCGCTGACGACAGTGAAAGGGAAGCCATTTTGTTTTTATAAGGTCAAAGTTAACAACGCTCAAGCTTACTGAAGGATGCCTGACCTTAAACTGTTGCTGTGTTTGCTTTCGCTGTGTTTTTACTGAGAGTTATTATTATACAAGCACACTCGTTAAATAAAATTCTTTGAACTGAAAGCGCTGATGGCGCTCTATACAAAACGACTATTGAATAAACATAAGAAAATTCGGTCAATGACATTTAATTAAATTATGAAGATAACCTCATTGTTTCTCTTTTGTTTCCTCAAAATATCTATTATTGCTTGAAGTACTCGTTTGTAACCTTAAACACCGCGTCATATGGACATGGAACCTATTTCTTTATAGTTTACGATTTTTTTAGTAATTGCAAATTAACTTCCGTTTATTATAATTATTGATAGACTTGTGATTTTATACTTTGGATTGATTGAACTTAGGTCTTCAACGCTTTTGCTTAGTGATTTGTTAAGAGTATTGAATGTAGAAGAGAGGGTAATTTGGTTCGTGTTATTATTTGGACCAACGAATTTTTTTTAGATTCAACACACAAGCAACTTGAGGGATTTTACAAATAACTTTTGTTATAGAAATCACAATTTTGTAGTTTAAATTCGACTATGTGTTAAAACAATAAAATTATGCTAGCCGAATTGGATTTCGATTCTGCAGAGGCCTTACTACATATTTGGGCATAACTGAGGTTTCAACTAACACAGACACAGCGCAGGTTTATAATAACTCTCAGCCACACTCTCAATTACAGAGTGTATTATACACACACAGCCATTCATATACATACATTCACGTATGCTTAAGGTATTACACAACTTTTGTTTGAATATATGTAACATTTATTTATTTATTTAGACTTTATTACCTTATGCAAAAACATACGTATATAAAAAAAATGAAAAAGGCATTATTCTATCAGGCAACCCTAATATGGAACAATAAAAAGAAACACCTACAGAGGGTAAAGTACAAGAAGTGCATAAATGATTACCAAAAAATCTCAAAATAACACATAACTAAAATAAAATAAAGTGAAATCTAAAGAAAAAATGAATATAATAATAAATAAAAATATGTATAAACAAAAATATGTATAAACAAAAACTTCAAAGCCTCTCAAAAGGTTAACTGAGTCACAATAATTAATATATATGTCACCGTAAAATTGTAAACACCGTTAGATTGTAATATATCTCGCGAGATTATAAACTGTCGAAAGATTGTGACCTACGAACTGCTTACAATTTAACGTATTATTATTCGCTAGATTGTAATCTATCGAAGTAAAACCGTCAAATTGTGAAACGGCCATTTTCTACTTTTCTATTGGTTATAAGAGATGTGACATTCTCGTTTTCTATTGGTTATAACTTATAAGTGATGTGACATTCTCAGTAAATTAATCGAATCGATTATTTCCTCAATTGTTAATTTTTAAATTAAACCTAATTTAACCATTACTTGTCAAATGTACATACATTACATTAACTTCATGTTTCAATTAGAGTAGGGTTCAGAAAATTTTGAAATTATTCAAAAAGTACCCAAAACAGAATCAGAACACCCCACTATCCACGCGGTCTTGTCTGCCCTACCCCTAGAGTGTATATAAAAACCGGAGGCGCGGAGGAAGAGCAGCCCCCACCCGATGTAACAAAGCACAGGCATTATGCAAGCTGAGGAGGCTTGAATAAATTGCCTGTGCCTTGGTACGCAAGGGTGGAGGGGCTGCAGTTCCCGTAGCGCCGGAGCTGTCCAAAAAATGTATTATTATTCGGTTAGGTTAGGTTAGTATATTAATTTTTTTTTAAATAACTGTTCAACTGGAAATCGAATACAAAAATCGATTTTCACTTTTAAAAAATAGATTATTTTTCACCCCTTCCCCAACCCCCAATTCGGGTTACCGATTTTTAAATCGTTACCGAGAAAATATTGTTACGTTTCTGCTTTTTTTATTTTGATATATTTTTTTTTTATCTTGTGATGACAGAATTATTTGACCCTCTGATACCCTTGTTTCATTCCTAACTCTATGGACATATAAAGCCTACCAATCAGGGACAACCTTCGGACAGTTGACATTTTTAAGATTGTAATTTGACGGTTTCACTTCGATAGATTACAATCTACCGAATAATAATACGTTTAATTGTAAGCAGTACGTTGAGGTTCACAATCTTTCGACAGTTCATAATCTCGCGAGATAGATTACAATCTAACGGTATTTACAATTTTACGTTAACATGTATAACTAGTAGCTAATTACAAGGCAGAAAAAAATGATCTATAAGAAGCTCAGTTTTTAAATAAATTTAAAGACAGCTCGTCTGATATCAATTTGTAAGGAAGTCCATAGCAGGATACTTTGCACTGTAACGGAGGAGTGATAGAATTCAGTTTTATGAGTAGGTTTCAAGATGGTGGAAGGTGTTAAGGAACGCAAATCAAAACTACCGCCAGAGAGGAACATAAAATTTTGCTTTAAGCTAGGATTAAAAAGAACACTTACTACTTTTTCTTTAAAAAATGATTTTAAACATGGACCATGTACCACGAAGTAATTGCAATCTAGGGACCCACAACACAGGGTCTTCCTATAGTGGGGACTAGCATTAGATAAATGTTGTCACAACCATTTTTCTGACATGAATAATTTTTTTTATTATTATTTATATAAACAAATAAAGGAATTTTACTAAAATATACGGACACTAAGAATCGGTGGTCTAATTGGAAAGGTATTGATTTGTCGCCCTCATCTAATACTCATATACATCCATACTCGTTCTCATATTTCGATTTCTCATGTTCGTCATCAAATATTTTTAAAACACTCGTAAAGCACAATTTTAACCATTGTTAAATTTCGTAATAAATTTCCTATCAATTTAGAAATCATTAAATCAAACTGAAATATGGGATTTATGGATTTGACAAGGGATTAATTTACCACCACAACTTAGTAAACGTGGTGTTATTAAATAAATAGAACTAGTATTCCATTAATTAGTTATAAAAGGTGTACTGTTGTGGGGAGAAGTTGAATCAATGACAAAATTATGTGAATAGGAATATATTACTTTTTATTAAAATACTACTACTACAGTGCAGAAATAACAAGAACGGCATTCTAAAGGAAATCTTTGGCAGCACTGGAGTCCTGCCATTAGCTTTATGAAATAATAATCATAGTACTAATAAAATACTAACATAGTTAATATGCAAGATTGTTACTTCTATTAACCTGAATTTGTGACTGAAAAAGGTTATAATCTTTATTACAATAGTTGCGCGGGAGGATGGCTGCAGTTAGGAGGTGCGAGTGCTGTGCAGGACGCAACCGGTGCGGCAGAAACGAGACTGTGTGGTAGCAACGAAAGGTATACACCGCCGGTGGTTCTTTTTGCCGACTACGGTGCTGCCATTTTAGACTTTAAGTAAGTATTTTCTATCATTTTCCATTAGAACTGAATGGAGCAGTGAATATTTTCTAAAGATTAAGTTAATATCAAATAATTTTAAAGTAATTGAATAATTTTTCAAGCTATTTAAGATTTTACCTGAAATTTAAATTCTTTGATAATCATAAAATCCAATAATATATTTTTCTTTCCAAGAAATGTAGCGCTAATGGTTTAGTCTACGTTTAACCTCACGAATGTTTTTACCACAATTAAATATTCCTGTTTTGGTATTGCAATATGAGGTCACATATTGAGTGTTGGTTATCTAGCCATTAACAAAACCCAACAGTATCGTCATTATTGGACATTGTTTGACTGATTAATCAGAGATAACACGTTGGAATAATGCAATAGCTAACAAACATGTATGAGCCGTTTAGAGCAAAAAGTTTTAACAGAATATATCTCACTTAACTAAAAAGTTATATGTGTATTGATAAAGTATATACAATTACGCCCTGGTTGTATAATATTACCTCGATACCGATGCTTTATATAAAGTGCGTTTTAATGAATTTCATATGTAAGATTACTTTCCTCACTATCTTACTGCATACATTCTTTGTAATATTATACAAATAATAGTGGAGAGTCCTTACTGATATGCAATTCTTATTGAACCTTATAAAACAATAATTTTACAGTTCGATGATTCTGAGCGGCCATTTCTACTCCATGCCTTTATAGCTGTGTGTTATTATTCAGTTTGTTTAGTTATGTGCATTTAATTAACCAAGCATTGAACAGCCACAGCGGCGGTTACAAATATAATAAATATCTTTACCTTAATATTACAGCTGTAAAGATTCGCTTACAAAAATTATAGATATATACACCTAATAGTGACTTATTAGACTAACTTAACCACCACATGTAAATATTATATTGACAGAATTACGGAGAGAACAGTAAGATCGCAGTTCCTGGCATTCTTCAGTTTTACGTCTCTGAGCAATACCCAAGGCGTTGGGTTTCATCCACGAGGTGGCTCTAGAATCCCTCACACGGGTAAATCAATTTTTTTACTAAGCGAGAACCTATAAACGCTCTTCTATACTAGCTATAAGAAGACAGATAATTAATTGATCACAGATTAAATGCAAATTTACAAAACTTAAGTGTAATGTTGGATGATTTATTATTAATCTTTTAGGTTAATCGACTAGTTAAAAAAATCAGTTTTAGACTACAGATACTCTTTACTTTACTGATCTATTACAACTATGTTTTTTTAATATAATATCATCAATGATCAATATATATGTCGAATATGAGCGGAAAACGTTAACAAGTAATAACCAATACGACCACATAAAAGAACGAGGAAGTGAAAAGATAAAGGAGTATTTATTGGTTTTCGAAGGATTTTTCCATAAGAACGCAAGTGTGGTGGACAAAGGTACGACCCTCGTCAGAACCATACTATACACAACTTTACAAAGATACCCTGTGGACGCAATGTATCACAATATAATGTATCATAGCCCATAGGGAGCTCGTTTTAGCAAAGCGCGTTGCTCCTTTTGTCATGTCATATTAATTCATCACACGGACAAGTAAGACGATTGAATTATGAAACAGATATTACAACTCTGCAAAATTGATTCTGTAGTCTATTAATGTGACGATTTGAAAAATTACGGACATGAAAAGTTTTGCACATAGTATTGTCTTTTATTGATATAACTGTCACCGTGACCACGCACGCTGTAAAGCACGCGAAACGTCGGAAAAATTTAAAATTATGTAAAATAATTGTAAATTTATAATAATACATAACTACAATCCGGTAAAAAAGTATTTTCTTTAAATGAAAAGTTTTATTTAAAGTTTGAACTGCACGTGTAATAAATGTTTCTATGTCAAGTGAAACAGAAGAGGATATACATAGGATGGATCCTAGAAATTTAATCTTTTTCATAATGATGTTCTCGACGGGAAATACTGTAGCTTAGTTTATCTGGTACGTGCGATATGAACAGTGAGTACTGAAATTGCACGCGATGATGTGACAACCCCGGCAGCTCGAGAATACGGAAAATTGTTTCCACTAAGCTGAAATGGTGCATTTTTGCCACGTTTTACTTCGTTTAGATGCTCTTTTGAAAAGCTTTTCACGTTCATTCAAACTCTTTACACGTTCTGGTTTTGGAGATAAAATATAAAGAAAATGTATGTATTTGAGGATTCTTTGGCCCTCTTCCTTCGTAAAGAAATTTAAAAATAACCTGCCTTCTTTATGTGTTTTGTTCTTTATTCTGCATTAATTTCTATTTGTCATTTGTATGGTCTTTGGTATATTCAACATAAGGAAATTGTATACCATTTTTCGTCAAAGAGAATTTTTATGAAAATATAAAATAGCAATGACCCTTACCAGTGAAACACAGCCATTTTGGCAGAGCGAGTTCATAATGCAATGAAGCATTAAATTGCCGTTGTTAACTAGCTATTTCTGCCACTTTTCCTTTACATCATTTAGACGGTGACCTCGCTCTTCCGGTCTCTACAAATATTAGTTAACATTTTCATAAAATACCTCTCATTTATAAGAATTCTGATGAAACAACTAAATTGTTCCTTTAATATTTTATCTCAGAAGACATCAATTTTATACTTGTAAATTTTTTATAATCGTATTTGTATAATAGATCAATTGTATTGAAGAGAGGTAATAGTATATCCATTTTTTTAATCCAGGGATTTTATAAGTAGACAACCTATCGCTACAAGGTTAACAATAATAGTTCACTGTAATAGATTTGTAATATACATGGTGTGTAACAGATTGCGACTGGCTGTATCAAGACGTGTCGTGTCGGACACCGGGCTCCTGTGTATTGGCGAGTCCTGGTTATCCCGGCTTGTACCCACCGCATCGACGATGCCGATATCTGTTCGCAACAAACTCTGTACACACGCGGGTCAAAATCATCTTTACTTCAATAATATTACCGAGAAAGTGAGTTCATGTTTTTAATGATAACTTATCTAGTTTAAGAAAAAAATTTTCTACTAAGTAAAATTATATTACCTAAAAGATTTACTTATAAATGCGAACTAGGCAGCAATCCCTCTGGTCTTGTGGTTCTGGTCCCTTTGGTATGTAAATTCCCGCTTGAAATAGTCGCGCGTCAGTTTTTTATTTTACGATAACTCTTTAACATACAATAAAAATGGCTGCATTAAATTCTTCAGTTAACTTACGCATTTAACAGTATATCCGTCTTAGTAGTTTTATTAATTTTCTCAATAAAAACATTTTTTTTTTTAGATTGAACAGGCATTCTGGCACGACATATTATGTTATTATAGACTTTTCTGTTTGAAGCTATCAATAATTTATCACTTATAAGTCTGGTTAGAACAAAGTTTAAAATAAACTTTGATTTCTCGAAAGTACTGCTAATTTTGTCTAAAGACTTAATTCAGTCGAAATTAGTTGAAGGAACTTACTTAAATCTACCTGGCATTTTCATTTCCCGTTGCTTGTATTTCGAGGGTAAATTTGTTAATAAATTTCTTTAGCTTTTGTTATTCTCATTCTTGTTAGCTTAGTTCACGGCGCGTGGTCAAATTTCACGATTTATTTTCTTTTATCAAGAATTGCTGAGCAAATCAAATCAGCGTTTTTGTTTAATATGATTATTGCGTGTATGAGCTTCACTAACAGTTTGTGCATTTTAATTATTTTATTTTATTAAAGTAATTGCTCAAAATTACAGGTATTACTAGAACACAAATCGTGAAATTATTATTAAAACATTTAATATAAGGGAGTATTGGTATCTTCTGTCTGTAAAAAAAGTTATATTAATACTGACCTTTATTTCCCTGTAGTACGGTGTTGATTGATTTTTTCTTAAATAAGTAGAATTATAAAAGAAGAAGGATATGGAAAGCGTTTAAAACAGTAGATCGGGAGATAGTGCTAGTGTCGAAGTATTTTAGTAACGCCCGTATAAAAATTCCACCCGAAAGGCTAACAATCAGTTTCGGTAAATAAAAGAAATGTCACCCCATCTCACCCCTATGCACAGCGTTTACTAAAAATTTACATCGAAGTAATCAACTTTGGAAATGCGGGACGTCCATTAACTTAAATTGATGTTTTCAATTGTACTCCATTTGTGAATAAGTTAATTGAAATTCTACCAATAGAGGCTTTCATCAGCGATGTTCTATACGTTTTTGCTGCTTTTCAATAGGGTATTTGCTAGATTGTACGTTTCTATTCATCGAAAATTATTTACTATTGTGTCGTAATTAAACGTAACCTGTTGGAAGAGTACAAACATAATTTGTTATACTAGTTGTTCACGCAGTCATTTTGCAACGATGATTAAGTAATATATGTTTCTAAATTAATAAACGTTTACATTTTTAATGTAATTTGTTTACACCCAGAAGGCTACAACCACAATTTGCCCGGATGCCTCTAAAGTATAAATACATCAATAATTCACCAAACCAAAGGGGTTATGCATTCTATCGGACCCCCCACGTCTCTCGATATATAATAGTCACAATTTAACTAATAAATTATCTAAAGAAATCACATTATTCACAAGTTCTATAAAAGTTCACACGAGTGCTAGAGTGAAATAAAACGAGCGAGTTGATAAAGCCAACTTTCAATAAATCGTATCAATCATAAATCATTAAGAAATGTCTGTTTTTGTATTGTTTAAACAATTGTTAATCACCTTTCTTTACCATTTTAAATTTAATAGCACGTAAAAGGCAATTAAAATTGAGCCTTTCTATATATATAATGTATTACAGCCGCTGTACGACGGACTATCTGACGCTTCGTGCCGGAAGTTCACCCTCCGCGCCGCTGTTGGCAACATTGTGCTCGGAAAGAGTCTCCACCCTGGAGCATCCCGGACCAAATTTACTTTTGGAATTCAAGTAACGTATTATTTTCATATCTACCTCTTATATTTTATTAATAAGCGTAACGTTCTGAACAAGGCATAACATTTTACGTCGGGACACAAATAAACCTTTTTGAGAGTTGAAGTTTATTTAAAATAATAATTAAATTGTATTAGAATTGTTTGATATCCATCAAAGGACGAGAAGCAAATTGTTATATCTTTTTAATTACCTAAATAAATAATTATTCGTGATGTGTGTTGAAAAGTAGAATCTACGTTAAATTACGTTAAAATGATATTGTGAAATTATAATGACAGCTCGCTTGTATTTTTCTTTTAATGTGTGTCTGTGAAATGTGTAACATAAAAGAGATTGGTTTGCTGAAAAATAAAGACGAATTTTGGCTTTATTAAGTTGCATTTCGTATTAGGTAGAAAATGTTAGATAGAAATTGCTATTACCTGGCTAGAGAGGAATACAGTTGTTTAATATTTGCGTAGATGAAGTTGCGTTTGAACTTTGTTTCAGTTGTTTATAACTGTGTTCAAATGTTACAAAATATATTATTTGTTTCACATAACATGAACTCATACCTTTTAAACTATCAATTTGAATCACAGGTGTAGTAAAATTTATAACATAAAGTTACACAATTTAAATTATTTGTTGCAGAAAGAGCCATTTTTTTAACAAATTACAACTCAAGAACCACACGCAGCACGCTAGCAAATATTTTTATTTTGTAAAACTGTTCTATTATCTTTTATGAAATTTAATTTATACTAGTCGTGGTTTAGTGTTGCTGGAAAAAGAATTCAAAGTTTGTTCGTTATAACTTATTTATTAAATATTATATTTTTGTAATAATCCTTTGTTCAGCTCGGGTCCTGTAGTGCCACCATACGATTACAATGGTTTTATTGCGAAGTTGGAATTTGTGGAGAAATCAGAGTCTAGTGATGCTCCACCGACAGTTGTAGTCGCCTCACACCCGTTAGCTTTCCTGACACATCACACAAACCACGGTATGATTATATTTATATTTTAGTAAACTATTACTGTGTACTACGGTTAACTGAACTTTCATTTTGTAATTTAACATCAGTTTATTAAAATGCAATTTGGAAAGGCAAAACTTTAAATTGGTACATTTTTAAGTGGATAACATGTTTCTACAGGCGACCGACCACCAGTAGATCAAAACGCAATATCCAACGAATTGTCGAGTAGTGGTAGGATTGGGTGCGGGGCAAGTGTACGAGGGTATGGGCCGGGCGGTGTAAGGTCCGGCCATTTCGATACGAAAGCGAGTGCATGGAGAACGCAATGCGCCATCCACTTACTTGGTGTCCCTACAGACATAGTGCAAGTGTCGCTATTCAATTATAATTTAAGGTAATATAATTTTGTCCTTGAGATCACTTGATGTAATGATAAATGACTTATCACTTCTAAGAAATTATGAACTATATAGATAGTGTTAGATTTTAATAAATTATTTTTTGTATTTTTTTTAAACAAATCAAGATTGGAAACTGTTTTTCATTGAAAAAACATATTTTCTTATGTTCCAATAAGGTACACTCTAAAATTAAATAGGCCAACTAAAGAATCAATAACGAAATATCACCCGCAACTTAATTATTATATTTATATTACGACAAAAACGATATATAATGAAACCCATAAAACCTGAATTTGATATGTATTTTTGAATATGAATTTTGACATTGAACCCAACGCTGACGCACCGATTTTCTATTGTTTAAACAATAACTTGTTTTTTAATTTTTCATTATTTTGTTGGCAGATTACAAAGTTGTAGATCTCACATTGAAATATTAGAGGGTTTACATGAAGTTGGTGGAAGAGGTGATAGAGCCGATCGGTATGAGCGAGGAGACAGAGCTCTTCTCAGAGTTTGTGGCCCCTCTGTGAGGGAAGCTAGAGATCCTACTGGAAGATTTTTAGTTAGACAAGCTGTGACTTCAAAGGGCGCTAACCTTACTATCTTAGTTCGAAGGGCAACATCTCAAAGTGCAGATGAAGAAGAGTTTGTCGATGGTGCCTTTGCATTTCATGACGGTAAGTACAATAACCTAACGTGATTGGCAGAAAAAGGTATAATGGTAAGCCAAAAGTTCAAATCGCAGAAAAAGGTATAATGGTAATCCAAAAGTTTATCTTAACTATATGCACTCGAATGGTTTTTGGGTTCGTTTTCATTAGTTATATGTAAACATTGTTAGTTTCATATTAAATTTTTTTTAGAGCAACATGAAGGAACAGTATCACCGGATGCCACATGCGCCTCTACACATTATGGACTGGCTGCGCCTGCGCATGGGGGTGTATCAGCGCCAAACCAACACCACATATTTTGGAATATAGAAGAAAGACTCTTGTGCACTCATCGTTTTATTCCGGCTGCTAATCAAAGTGTTACTATTGAGGTAATTATAATATTTAATTAGTTATTGGTTTATACTGATTGAGTTACTTTGAATATGCCATGCGAAAAGAACTCTTAGTTAATTTATTTGACTATTTTCCATAACGAGTAAAATTATCCTCTTTGTATCACACGTTCGTTTCGAGAAATAATTATAATGAAAATGAAATAATGTATCATTCAATTAATTTCATATATGAAAAAAGAAAAATTTATTAGAATATAGAAATGGCTTTAGCAAATTCTTAGATTACAAGTGCTGTTCTTAGATTCAACGTTTGGAGCGAATGTGGAGTGCTGAGCCGACGAATTTAGTGGTACCTGGGGCGGCTGGTTGCCGTACAGCTTGCGGTGATGCTGGTTGCGAGTGTCGTTCCGCTACGCCTCTACACTACCACGATCACATCGCTTTGGTTGCAGGGGATGGTACACACTTATCCTGTCTTTGCGGAGACTTCCAAGTAAGCTTACACAATAATTATTCTATTTTCGTGGTTTAAGTATTGGATAATCACACTCTATTCCAGAATCTGTTACTGTATGGTTCCTGGGTCATCGGGGTGTTTTAAATAATATAGGATTTTAGATAGAATATAATATAATTAAATGTTAATTGCTATGTAACGAATGAATGCAATGTAACAGTCGAAGAGAGTGCCTACGTCTGGCTATACTCACGGGGCGTAACTCCCATGATTTCGTTATTTGTTATGAAACGAAGGAATGCAATGTAACAGTCGAAGAGAGTGCCTACGTCTAGCTATACTCACGGGGCGTAACTCCCATGATTTCGTTATTTGCTATGAAACGAAGGAATGCAATGTAACAGTCGAAGAGAGTGCCTACGTCTGGCTATATTCACGGGGCGTAACTCCCATGATTTCGTCAATTGCTATGAAACGAATGAATGAAAAGTTACAGTTCAAGAGAGTGCCTGCGTCTGGCTATACTCACGGGGCGTAACTCCACGCTTATATCACTAAGAAAGCCTGAGTAAACGAACCGTTACAATATATGTTTATAACAAGATATGTTTTATGGTCTGTACTAACCCACTAACACTAGTACCAATTGAATTCCTATAAACCTGTGCATAGCTATATATTTATGGCAGATTGAAGGCCTGTCACAAATCTGTTGGAACTCATTTTTTTATTAAAATGGCAGAAACTGCCGCGCACCACCACTATGTGGAATCAGCTGTCCACTAAAGTATTTCTGAACTAATTCGACTTAGGGTCCTTCAAGAAAAGAGCGTATCAATTCTTAAAAGGCCGGCAACGTACTCGCGATCCCTCTGACATTGAGTGTGTTCATGGGTGGCGGTATCACTTAACATCAAGTGAGCCTCCTGCCGACCGTTTTCTCCATGTTATAAAAAATAAATACATATATATTTGTAACTTCTTAGCTTAAGCTATATAATAAAGCTTAAGCTAAGAAGTATAAGATAGATATTTATATTTCTCGCCCAGTGTTACCTCCTCGTTTACCATATGTACTCAGGAATATTGAAAGTTCTATAGTGGGTTCTGGGTATTATTACATTTCCCTTGTGAGTGTTGCTATTTTAATTATGCGAGTTACAGTTGTTTAAATAAAGCTCATTCTTTTTTGAAATGTCTGTGGGGCTCACGCTAAGGATTTAGTAAAGCCTCTACGCGCGATACTACCCGCTACGTCAGGTCAAAGCCCCTTACTACACATACAACACAAACTAACTGGATAAAGTAATCTCGCCATTTTTACTTTATTATATATGTTTACATCCTTTGAAATAATTATTTTATGATTAACTTATTTAATATATTGATAACTTGATAAAATACAGACTTGCTTTGTTGAAATATTATTCTACGGAAATAAATTAGTCAAACTGTTGCGACAGTCAAAACTCTGTTTAGGAATTGCCCGAATAAATGTTAATAAACATTTACGGTTCATAATAAAAATATGCCGTGGATAATTATTATCGTTCCATGTCGATATGGGCGTATGTTACCCCTTTCTAGCTTATACGGCTGCGGCCTGTCCGCATAATTAAGTAAGAGGGTTAGTATTAAGTATGTAATAGCAATAAAGCGCGGGCCGACCGTAGCATGAGGGGCCATCTTGAAAGCGACCACTAAATAATTTATCAACTATGCTGCCAATATTGTAAAGACAGGAAGTCCTTTAATATAATATTGAACACTGTGATCTTATATTTAACTAGCCTTCTGGTGTACCATGAGATTGAAAAAGTATAAATGTTGATGTACCACGTGTAAGTAAAAGTCCACAGTTGGTTTGTAAAATCTTACAGTGCAGGAATTATTATTAAAACATTAGCCTTCATCTACATGTGTATGTGTTTTTACAATGTTCAAATATAAAAATATACAATTCCAAAATAGTAGTAATGGATTGTTAAAGTATATAAGAAGACAAAAAAAATCCCTCTACGGTCTGAAACTGAAAATATTTTTCTTGAATTATTACAGATTTATTTATTTACATTGCTTATTAGTATATCAATTAATCAAAAAGTTGAGACAAAGTAAAATCACATCCCGTTTAAAGTAATTAAATGATAACCATATTCCAACTTTCTGGTGACAAAGTTTCGCATGAAAAACTAATAAAAATGTGACGAGATATATTTGGAAGCCATTCTCATCTGTATAATTTATAGAGTTGGACAATGACAAAACCAATATTTCAATATAATGGCAATTACCGTCGGCGTTTATTATTAGTGATTGTGTAGTCTGCCACAATATCAGGAATATATATACATATTTTTAAATGAGACCTATTCTCATACTAGCCAGGTGACGATAAATTTTAAATAAGCAAATGTCAGTGGTGTAATATGATAAACCGCACTAGGCTTTCATTCTTGGACGGAGAGCCACATTAATCTGTTGGTTATGTATTGTGCATCGCTCCGGTCATACAGCACATAACTCGCGGTATGTCATGTGTCGTACATTATGCTTGGACGAACTACGTTCTGCGCACTGTTCCATTATTCGCATACCGCGTTCTTATTGTACCCAATTTCTTTTATGTAAACTATTTAAGTCAATATCGGTATTGGAACGTAAACCCCAATATTTCCATTCCCCCAGAGAAAAGATTAGGGTTCTGTCCCTTACTTTTTATTATCAGTATGCAAAAAATCAACTTATTAAGTCTACGGGTTGGTTCGGTTATAAAAGGTTTCGAGGAAATATTCGACCGCGGTTCTTTGCATAACTAATCATATGTTTTGTATTTGCCAACACGTATCGAGTCTTGATATATATGTTATTATATTAAGTCTCGATACGGTTAGCAAATAAGATATATTATTGCTGCCATAATTTTTACGCTTATGTAACGAGTTAATTTTTTCATATTAAAAACTATGATATAACATTCTTTTTTGTACCTATGCACAAAGATGAATTATTAAATAGTTACTTAATAATTCATCTTTATTATAATTATATATAAATTATAAATTACTTTATATAATACTAGCCGTTTCCCGCCCGCTTCGCTGGGCGAATTAAAATAGGGAATAAATAAAATTTTATGTTTCATTATTATTATTTTTTTGATATTTTTATTATTCCTCTTTTTAACTTACCGCTAAGAAAATTGAAAATTTTCGAAAATCGAGTTTTTAACAGATGTTGACGTTTTGAGGTTCTAGGAAGCCTCCCCAAATGTTTCCGCGGTGAAGTCCGTATGTATAAATTTTCATAAAAGTAAAACAGCAATAAAAAAATGAAGGAACGTTGGAATTTAAAAAATATTTTTCTTATATATATTACTTTTTAATAATTTCTGCTTAGAAATAAATATGTACGTATTTCATTGTTTGAAGTGTGAACTAAGTGATCAACAGCTAGTATCTAAGGGCAAGTTTCATAGTTACGTTTGTGTACATTGTATATTAGGACGTACTAGTTTGCGTTAAGTCTCGACTCTAAGTCTAAATCTGAATCTAATCCATAAATTCTTTAATAATATTTTAGTCCACCTGGCTACCCGTGGTTGTACGAAGTTGGACAAGCCTCCGTCTAGAGTATTCAGTGGCGCATTACACCTACGCTAGCCGTGGCTTCGATTACGCCGCGGCTTATAGCTTCAACGACGACTCTATGTGTGGCCAACGCACGTATACTACTCATTCAGGTAAAATCAAAAGAAATATTTCCTTAAAAATTTACTATCTGACGAATTTAAAACAATATCTGTATTATAGTCAAATAATTGAATTTTAATGTAAGATATTTAGTAGTCTGTGCGTTTGATAGCCAAATTTCAAAATGTTGTAACAACGCTTTAACGTCTTCATACAACTAGAATATGACGTATTATTTTACAACCCTCCATCAGTGGAGACGAGGGATAATTGGTAATTTATCCGAAATGAACTCACATCATCTCAAATGGCGTCACGCGAAAACCAACTGTTAAATTCGCGCCCTTCCGAGAAAACGGAAAATTATAACAGAAAATGAGCTACTATTATTATTTATACATAGACGTATTATATTTGTATAAAATTTAAACAAATTAAGTTTTAAAAAGATTAAATAATTTTCATGCTGATGTGTATCTTCGTTATCACAAAAGTTGAAGGAATGATGTACTTGAATAAAAATAGCAAACACGCTATTTATGCATCTCCGTTTCATTCTGAACGAAGGGAATATTGTTCTGAATGGCGCGAGGCGTGTCCGAGAAAATTACGTACCCCGACCCAGTTTCACGCTCGTGGTACGAACGAGACGAAAAAACCTTGAACAAGGTCGTAAAGTTCCAATTACATAGTCGCTATTGTGGTGACTTGTCGCTACATTTTCATATTCGTGCCCGTACAATTTTTGTTTCACCTTTTTTCAGCGCTATGCGGGCTAATTGAATTATGTAGTTGCAGCTGAGGACGATTAATTTCTTCGGCCTTTGCATCTTTATTTACATTCAATAGACAATTTAACATTAAACGAATATTGAATTAGTGGTTTACGAGCGGATGTCGATAATTTTTTTAATGAGCTCTTAATACCTTTTGTTTAAGCAGAAATTTTATTGAATACAGCGACCATATTTGGGAATAAATGTAGCTTATATTACTCCAGATAATGTAGTATTCTAATGATGAAATCATTTTGAATAGAGTTTTCGAGCTAATATAGAGATGTAACATTTATAAAAATACTCTTCTTTTGATAGGTGAAATATCATCACGAAATGTATCAGTCACTGGCAGTCTGAATGAATTTTTCTATCAGCAATGCACCTGGGTCCTAGATTCCAACGTCGAACGACAACTTTTCATTGATATATCTTCCGAACAGGTAGAATGTTCATTTATTTTACAATTTGACTAAATTTTTAATTGGAATTTATGTAACGTTTTTCACTAAATATTTTTAAACCAATTTTCTTCTGTAAATAAATTAACAACGTACAAATATTGTCAAAATTTTCATTTTTAGCTCCTAAAGCATCATTTTGTAATCAATTTTAATTTAGTAACTATTGTGTAAATTAACAATATTTAAATTATATTTATATTAATAAGATTTTTATATCATAGGACAAATCGTGCAGTTCTTGGAATATAACAATTCACGAATGGTCAGGCAGAGGTGTCCACAATGAGGGCGGCCTTGCCGCTTCGGCTGGTGACCTGCTCTATACATTTTGTGCAAGACATAAGAACCACACATACACCCTGCCTTGGAGATTAAATACTGTTGTCATCAGGTAACAAATAAACTAAACACCTGATTTTATAATTGTCTTTGTGTCTGAATATACATTGATGATTTTAGTATATCTTAAAATCTATATTAATAATAATAGCCTTTCATTTCATATACTTATACACTTAAACACATATTTTATATTTCTATCTGTGTGCCCAAAGGCCTCTTCCAAATCCCGCCATTCCTGTCCGTCACTGTGCCACTCTCTGCCAAATACCATCTGGTGTTTCCTTAATCTAGTATATATACACCTTCTTAGTAGTCTTCCTCTTTTGTGTTTATTGTACCAATTCTAAGTTAGGCTAATAAATTACTAATAATGAAACAAAGCCCTCTAAACTGAAATATTAAACTGAGTTTAAAACCGGCTTTGCTTCTGAATAAGTTTTTTCCCATCACAACAGCGTATCCTACTTACCATAGCATTTAATTTAAAGTTTTGTACCATATTCATTTTTAATAGGTCTGGTAAATATGAAACTATGCGTAAGGCGTTGAAAAGAAAACATCTATTATTTACTGATACTTAGGCCTACATGTAAATTCTTCGAATAGCTCAATGTTAGAAGCATTTTTTAACCTTTTTAACAGCATTCAAAAGTTGACAAGAAAGCACGCATTACGTCATTGTAATCATCCTTTTACGGGTGCTTTCAAGTTTAACGACATCTTTATCAAAAGAAAGCGAAAAAGATCCGTTTCGTTAAATTATTTATGAATGCTCCTAGCTTTAATAAGTTACTCTACCGAAAGGGCCCCTGGAAGCGCATACCTTTACAGTTAAAATGTGTTTCACGGTACACAGCTCTTTTTGTACGTATTAGAAATTCGTGTCGTACGTGGATGGATTTTAAATGGAATTTTCCCGTGTAAATCATGACAACTTTCTAAAGTTAAACATAAGGAAAGTTTGGTTAATTAAAATTTTTAAAGTTAAAAATCGAATAGGTCCTTGAAAACGCTATTTACGAATTGTATGTAACTATATAAACAACTTACATATATATTAACTTTTTATACATATTAACCAATCAAAATTATCACTTTCAGATCGTATTAATATTCATGGTAAATGACTTTGATTACAGAGTTTAGTGTGCATAATCTAAATTGGTATATCGATTTATGAGTTACTGAATAGTTTAATGAACATTTAATTATGTTAAACATTATATGATAATATTATAGACGATAAATATAAAAGTATCATGAATGTTAAAAAGTATGAGATGTTAATAGTATGTAATGTTTTTAATTTATCAATTATCATATTATTTGTACAGGTTAGTAGCTCTATCACGTCAGCAGCCTTTGTACACAATGCGTTGGCGATCACAAGTAGTTCGCGCTAACAATAGACTCGGCCCGCCAACTCCTGCACCGGCCGCCTCCGCGCGATCGCCGCAACAATTAAAAACACACTCAGTGCTATTATTAATCTACCCCGTGTCCTTACTAAAACATTTTATAGTATAAATCAAGTTAATGTTAGGCTATGAACTTTTTGTACCACTTGTTTAGTTTAAATTAATAGATTGTACATAGAAGTCGATATTTCACGTAAACCCAACGATATTGCCGTTGTATTGTGTCGATGTATCAGTGGTAAACATTGTAAATGACAAATAGGGAATGGAAATGTATTGGTAAACAGTTCATATTGAGAGAGCTCATCGTACAATAACATTATCTGGTCTTTAAAAATGTAGGTACTATAATAGATGTATCGTATTTCTATTCATTATGTATGTTCTATATATACATATTATTTTGTTAGTTATTGGTCAACAGTTTTTTTTATTCTACGACAGTCTTGAAGCACTTTGTTAAATTTTTTTATACCAACACTTTTATAAAATAATATAGAAATGTCAATTAGTACAATTAGAAGAAAAAAATCAATTATATTACATAATTTTAATAGTATTTAGAAAGTAGCTGAAATATTGTTTATTTTAAGTTGGAATAAGTTAACGTTATATTCAATACGAATTTTGTGGCAATGCAAAAACTTCATTATTTAAATATCATATATTATACTGACTAATGTACATACTTGGGGACGGGAGTGGAGTTAAAATATTAAAAGGGAGTGAGATGTTGATTCATTCAGTTCTTACAATATAAACATAATTTTCTATGAATATTTATTATTACTAACACATTTTCAAATTAAATTGTAATCGAAGTATTTAATATATAATTTTTTTACATTCCAATTACGGTTTTAAAACAAACTCGAAAAAATAAATACGTGTGCACTAAAACAAAAAGAAGTAATTTATTTCAACTATTTGTATTTTCATTGATGACCATAATTTTTAGCATTAAATGTTTTAGATAATAGCTCAAAGTAATGTTGCTAATGTTAATATTACTAAGATTCAATATAATTTGCATTTAGATGAGTTTTATTTGTAGATACGTGTAATTGTAGATTGTAAATAGCACAATAGTTGTATTATAAATGCTAATTATATCACTTTGTAAAAAGAATGGTATAAAAATGATTGTTATATGAAATAGATGAAATGATCAAATTTTTTGTGTTTTTATTTAATTCATATTATTAAACGGCTACTAAATATGGCACTATGTATTAAAAGCCTACTCTTAGATATTTTTAATCTGGTGTGATGATGTCCTTACGCAGGTAATCATTAAATTGCTTTGCTCATACATTTTACATTGCTCATATAAGAATAACGAATGCCTAGGAAATAACGAAGTATAGGACAAACTAAATAATTCACATAATAAGAAGGTAACGTCTACTTTCAAAACATATGCCTTTCTGTATAGTTTTCGTATTAGTTAAAGTTTATGGTATTCGTATTTATTTCGCTTAAATTAAGTTCGATTTGTTATTTTGTGATCCAACTTGAAATCACAAAGAAAACATTTGCTTTAGTTATATATTTTCATAAAAAAATGTTGAAACCTCGCTTGCTACCGCAAAATAAAATAGCAGCTATACTAATCATGTACCTCAGGGTATTGTGTATATACGTAGATAAAAGATATATATTTGTATGTAAAGTTCTTAACGTATCGAGAATATAATATGCCACATATCTAATATGGTTCATAGAGTTCGGGACTATAAACTATTTTCATTTAAAACACAATATCATCAAAATCAATACTTAGGAGCTGTAATAAATTCCCTTGTACGAAGTTTGTCAGTCACAATATTGTATTTCATCTAAAATATTTGGCTGGTTCAATTAAGATAATATAAGGAAGCCGAAGTTACTAGATAATCTCAAGCGCCTTTTGCCAACATTGGAAATTAACAAAATAGAGAATAAACTTGAAATCTAAGACTGCAGTGAAGCTCTATCAGTTTGATAGAGCCTTAAACTTTCCATTAGGAGCGCTCGCTTGCTTTTCTCTGAACTTCAACGATCCTTTGAGGTTTCCTTAAAATAAATGTTTTACGATTGATATAAAAACGTACCTACATCAATCAATATTTGAGCCAGGAAGGGTGAAATAAAGAGCCTTTTTAAATTTTATCTCTGAATGTTTACATAGAGCGGACTACGAGGAAAACGAATTTCCTTTCAAAGGTGTATGATAATAATACTTCTGCGGAGATTTAAATTGACTACTATATCTGCAATTAATGTATGTGTTTCTTTCCACCAGGACACCAAATACGCCTGCTATTTGAGACGACGCTAGGTGGATTTCTTTTCACAGATATATCTCGTTTTATTATTTTATTCGCTGTCGTAATTTAAAGAACATGCGGGCGTGGCAAATACTCAATCCCAAAGAACCTTGTGCACAAAATTTCAAGCTTATTCTAAGATCAACGAGGAAAAGCGCTAAGCACCCATATTTAATACTGAATTTCCATAATAACAATTAAACAAATCCGAATTAAGGTCAACTTTTACGAGGTTTCGTGCAGTTCGTTGAGAGTTCCTTTACTGAGAGTTTAACTGGGAAATAGAATGAATGTCAACCAACATATTTGTATGTATAATTACATTCAACTGTTGTTCCGCCCGACACCCAGGACTGACATTGCCATGAACTCGTATATTAATTAGTTTCGTATTTTAGAGATTAAATAGAAGCTGTCAATGGCAGAAGCTAGTGACAATATCTAAGTCCCTGTTAAACTAAGAGTACATATGTGTTATTCATGAGCTAGCGTATGTTGCATGCCCCAACAGTTACCTTTTCATTTCACTGAACATTGTACGCTGTATTAACTGCAACAAATTACAACAAAACCGTTCGCCTTTAGAAATCCAATTTGGCGCTCACCCAATTAGGGGTTTATTCATAAAATTGAAATTAGAAATAAATTCAAGCTTTAAAAGCCCATTTTAATGTTCTATTTATAAACTAAGGCGATGTTTTAAATGCATAAAAGTGAAGGTTACACTGCAGTGTTTTTTTATTATTGGATGTGTTAATTGCCCTCGTCCCGATACTGGTTTATTAATACAGGAATATAATGTATCATTCTACTGAAAGTTTTGACCGATTACACCTAAAGTATTGTATGAAATATATTGAATGTAACTATCTATTAACATTCTGTCGGCGATAACGTAGCAGAAACGTCATCATTATTTAAATTATGAATTTTATTACAAAGTGTAAGAAATTGAAATTGCAGACAACGAGGGAAATTGTTAGCCCTTTCAAATTCTACCGTTACCAATGTTTAGATACCATTTCTGACTTAATTAGAAGGGAATAAACAAGGAATTTACCCGCTGTTTATTTAATTTATACTCTTCCTGTTTAACACACTATGCGATTGTAGTACAAGCGAGCAATAACGGCATAGAAACATACGATGATAGTGACACTATAAAGTTTAAAAAGTAATTAATTGATTTATAATTTGAATTTCTTTTAAATATTCGAGTCAAGTGAAATCAAGTCAAATCATTTATTTCAATAATTATATACCTAAAATGGCACTTCTTTTTAACGTCAAATAAAATATAAAGATGATTCGACATCGAACCTTAGGTCGTTAATTACCCAATCATTAAAAAAATACAATTTTATTTACAAATATATAAGTCTATCTATCTTTGTTTTTTTATAGAACAGATGGCAAACAGATATGAGGCTTACTTCATGTTATATGACGCCACTGCCTTCATGTTACATGGACACACACAATGACAGAAGGTTTTCAAAACGCTCAATTGTGGAACATTGGATACGGGAGGAATTTCGTATTCTGCCTCGACGTCCTATGAAGTAACAGGTATTCTGAACAACTCCACTGAACACCCTCTGTGATAAAAGCGGTAGAAGATGCAAAGAGACCCCACATCATTACTCAACGCCAGGGGATGAAGGCGTTCAGAAAGTGAGTGGGATTGTTATACAGACCTCTGAATTGTATTTGCAAAGTCTTGTAATCTTTGAAAGTAAACAGTTTTCCAAACAATTCATTTCTAAGTAATTAAAAAAAATTACAAGAACATAAAGTTTTATTTAGCTTGTTATTCGTGAAATTTATATCTTTTTATTTTAAAGTGAAGTATAAAATCAAGCTCCATAATGACAAATTTGTAAATGAAAAAAAGATTATTATAAAATATTCACTAGGTCAAGCTTTTAATATCAACAGTTTAGCAAGGTTATTTGTGTTGAGGTTAAAGTTTTTATGAAATGAGCTTTTATTTTACACTATATGGGATAGGATTAATAAGAATAATATACATGAAATTAATTTCATTTCTTAAATTAATTTCATGTATATTATTCTTATTAATCCTATCCCTTTGGGGTGGGTTTAACATTTTGGTCCATACAATTTGTTGGTTGGAGTCTAGGTGAAAGTACTTTTTGCCCTCTGCAAAATATTCGGGCTGCTTCGAGTTTTTTTGTAGGCGATTGTTTACCGGTTTATTAGTACCAATTATTACTATATTTCTGTTTAGTTGTGATTCCTACCAGTTTACTTTTTAAGGATACTCCTCTAATTATAACTTGCATTTCTCTTTAATGCACTTTAAATATTCACGCTGGGTTGGTGTCTAGTCTGAGTAAATTTTAATAGTGTTTGGTAATTTATCCTTTTGGCTTAAAGAGTCATTATTGGCACAGATGTTTTGAAGCACAGGTGGTATTGTTTACAATAAACAATTGAATGTTGTTTAAATCCAAGTCTCTTATAAATACAGCCTTGTCAGTTTTCTTTATTAAACACTGTCCAAATCCCTAGCAGGTATCATTAAAGTTTTGTGTGTTGCTTGTGTATGGCTATATAGCCTATAGTACGGGAGGTAGCAACGTTTGAAAAGAAAGAATTTTAGGTCAGCTGATTTTGTGATATGTCTTCCTTCTTGCACTTTCGGTTAGAGTCTTGGCAATCTGGCTGGCGGTAGCGGTTGCGTTCTTTAGTGCGCATCCTATCTGTCCAGGTAATATCCTGGATTTTAAAAGCATTTTAAGAAGCGTAATTTTTAATTTTTCGTTTTTAAATAAGT